CCAAGAATGTTTCTTAAAAAATGAATTAAACTGACTCTGCCCAAAAATGTATTAAGAAAATACCTAGCAAATCACATTTTATATGATTTATTAAGCAGACATTGGGCCAGCTCAGAGTAGCTGTCATCATTGTTTAGTGCTATTAGGTATTGATTTGACCCACTTCAAATCTTCCCACACTATGCCTTTTACTATTTATTCAATTTAAAGCAAAGCTTTACAAAGAAGGAGGGGAAAAAGGCAGTCTTAACAAGACAGAGTGGTCAGGGAGTGATGAGTATACGGCAGATATCTTCATTTATGGATTCTCTTGACCTGATCAATAATGGGGGTAAATGAGAGGTCAGATGAATGTTAGACTTCTGTGCTTAAAAATGTGAAGGTTACTCAGTATTCTCAGATTAGGTACTCTGGGCAATCACAGGGGTTTTTTTTTGTTTGTTTGTGTTATAAAATATTCCTTTAAAGGATACTAAAAGTTCTTTTCCTGAGAAAATTCTTTTCTCAGAAATACAAATATCAATCTCTTCTAAATAGCCTTTATCTTTTTAATTTTGCAACTGAATATGCCCTGCAAAGGCAATTAATAGGGCAAAATAGCAGCTGGGATATCACCATTCATCTATGAGACATGATTTATTTACATGGCACTACATGGTACTGCACAGATATCGCACATGTTTCTTGCTGATCAAATAAATCAAGTGGGTTTTGTGTTGATGGCAGAGATAGTAGTAGTGTTGCCTGTGTGTTTTGATGGTGGTGCTGGGAATGACTGTGTCTAAAGCATTATTAGAACCCACAGGACACATAACTTAAGGAGAGGATAATGTACCAGTCCCATTTTTAATTTTCCCTCCACATGACAGGTATTTTAAACAAAATTTAAGTAAAAATGAGTATCATGGTAACCTGAAAATCATTCAATTTTGGAAGTAGGCATCTGGGACACAAATAACAAATGGTGCATTCCACTTTAGCCCCAAGTTATTCTGTAAAAAAATTATACACTCAGGAATAGATAGGTTTTGGGGATTGTTATTTTAATATTTCCATAGATTTCTAGTGTTTTATAGATTTTACTGCAAAAATTTATGGATCAAAAAATTCACAATTAAATTTATGCAAAACTATGTAATTGCTATAACTGGTATTGATTTTATTCATAGTCACAACATAGATATGGTGTTCAGGTACCATGATGACTACATCATAAACTCAAAGGAGAAACTATTTTACTTTTCAAAGGATTTTTATTAATAATTACAACTCCTATCCACCAAAATAATTTCCTCCTCCATCCTTCATTTCATTATTTTGAGCAGAAATCAATAAGGATCAATATTCTGCTTGTCAGTCTTTTTATTTTCACTACAATCAAATTCCTAACCAAGACTGAGCATCAGAAAAATACCCTCAAAAGTATTTTAATTTAGTAGGTTGGAAATATAGGTATACTTCACAAATATTGGAAAAATGGAATTAAAATATCTTTATTTTCCAAAATCTATACATATCTTTTAATTAGCATTTTCCATAAAGTTTTTTGAAGGCCACTCGTAAGACTTTAAAAATGGCACAAGTGACTTGAAGGCATAATTGTAGTTCTTAAGCAGAGTCTTGATATTGAAATTTCTAGGATCACAGACCTAATTTGAAGTTTTGCTGATAAAAATAACTTCTGCATTAAAAATGCATATGTACACAAACATAGGTATGGAAATTTATACTTTCATGAAATTAAATCTTAAAATTTTATTGATTTAAGATATTAAGACTGCTACATTATGATACTAAGAGTGTTGGACTCTAATAGTATATTTTCTCCTTCATCATTTTATTCCAATCCACACATTGTATTAACCCTTCTGCACATTTCCCTTTTGAAGACCGGTAATTTTTTAACTATGTCCATCTTTGTGTAAGTTTAGGCCAGAGTTTTAGAAATAGGAGAAAGCAATGTAAAGACAAATCACCTCATTTTTTTTTTTAATTTTCATTTTATTTGAAAGGGAGAAAGAGGGAGAGAGGAGGAGGGAAAGAGAGAGATCAATCTTGCACTCTAACTACAGTGGCACCACGCTGGCTTAGTACTGAGAGTAAGGTAGATGGTCACTCAGTAGATACTGAAGGAAAGGGTGACTACGTCAATAAATGAACACCTGACAATTTGATTCTGTGAACGAAGCAAAGAAGAAATAATTTAGTTCATTTCACTTTAAGCTCTTTGGCTCTGTTTCCTCATCTGCCAAGTGAGACATTTGAATAGATTTAGATTGTCTTCCATATTAAAGCTGAGATTCCTGCATTCCTCATTCTACTCTGTGGATAGAAGCATGAAGACCAATTTCCTAAGGCAAGTGTCCAAACTGTAGGTTACACCAAAAGGAAGTGGAATCAGCACCTTACAGAGATCATCTGTGCTCCCATGTTCCCTGCATGGGATTTAGAAAGATTTAGAAACAATCTAAATGTGCATCCCTGGATGGACAAAGAAATTTTCTCTCTCTCTCTCTCTCTCTCTCTCTCTCTCTCTCTCACACACACACACACACACACACAATGGAATACTATTCAGGCTTTAAAAAGAAGATATTACCATTTGCAACGACATTGGTAAACCTGGAAGACAGTAAGCAAAATAACTCACACAAAAAGACAAACATTACATAGTCTCACTTATATAGGGAATCAGAAAAAAAATTCAAATATATAAGGACAGAGCCTTAAACAGTGGATTAACAAGTGTGTAAAAGGGGAGGAAATGTAGAGAAGCAAGTCAAAAGCTACAAACTTAAGCCTGGCGTTGTGGCATAGCAGAGTAAGCCTCTGCCTATGATGCCACCATCCCATGTTTGAGAACCAGCTGTTCTACTTCCAGTCCAGCTCCCTGTGCTAATGTACCTGGGAAAGTAGTGAAGATGGCCCAAGAGCTTGCATTCCTGTACCCACATGGGAGACCCAGAAGAAGCTCAGGGCTCCTGGCTTCGGCCTGGCCTGCTCTAGCTGTTACAGCCATACAGACAGTGAGAGGGAGAAACAGACAGAAAGGTCTGCCGTCCGTTGGTTCACTCCCCAGTGGCCGCAGTGGTCGGACCTGTGCCGTTCTGAAGCCAGAAGCCAGGTGCTTCTTCCCGGTTTCCCATGTGGGTGGAGGGGTCCAAGGACTTGGGCCATAGCAGAGAGCTGGATTGGAAGAGGAGTAGCCAGGACTAGAGCCGGCGCCCATATGGGATGCTGGTGCCGCAGGTGGAGGATTAAACTGCGCCATAGGGTCGGCCCCTTTCTCACTCTCTCTACTCCTCTCTCTGCTCCATGATCTTCAAATAAATAGAAGAATCCTTTTTAAAAAGCTACAAATTTGAAGTTAGGTCGGATACATAACTCTAAATCTAACATAAAGCACAAAGACTGTGGTCAATAATATTGGGTTGTATAATGAAAGTTTGCTAAGAAACAATATATTTTCAAGTCTACTTACCACATTCAGAAGTAATTATGGAAGGTGATAGTTTAATTTTCTTAATTGTGACATCAGTATTCTCTCTCATATGTGTGTGTGTGTGTGTGTGTGTGTATACATGTCAAATATATATATATACAGGTTTTTTTAAAAAAATAGCCACCAAGGAAAGAGAGGGCTGGTGCCATTTGGCAGTGTGTGGTCACATTATGTTAAAGGGTGGCAGGTTAAGTATGTAGATGGTTCCCAACTTCAGGATGGTATGTGCATGATACACCTTCAGTAGAAATCAGTCTCTTTTTTGAATTTGGATCCTTTCTGAAGCTGCTAATATGAAGTCTGATACTCTCCGGTGATGCTGAGTGGCTCCCTGTCAGCCCCATGGTCACAAGGGCAAACAACCTAAACGCTATAGTGGGTTGTGTTGCCAAGCTACATTGTTCAATAGAATAGGTGGACTCACTGCATTTTCATGATACGCTGTTTTTAACTTAAGGCGAATTTAGCTGAATGTAATACCACAGTTAAGTTTAGGGGCATCTGTATTTGCCATGTATTTTTTACTAATGAGGTAGATTATAAAAGAATGGATTTCTTCACCACAAAAATAAATAAAATTTATATTAATTCAACTCTTGTAGTAATGAGGCAGATATATATGCTAAGATGAAACTCTCCAGAATAAATTATCCATTGAAATAAATAAGATGCATAAGACAAAATACAGAAGGATGTCACTTATATGTTTGTAATAAAAATACACAGACCATCTCCCGAAGAATACACAAGAAATTGATAATGGAAGTTGCCTTCAAGGATATCTGATGGACAGCTAGGAGAAATGTTGGATGAGCACATTGACTTCCTGGTGATTTGTTATAATTTTTGAGTTCTGATAATATAAACATATTGTTTTACAGAACACAATGTTTAAAATTATGTAAAACATGATTTTCATAAATATATTTAAAAACCTAAAACATGTAGTTACCTATAGAATTCATATTTTAAATGCTGTAATGTAGTCTGCTATCATATGTATACACTACAAAAAGACTATTTGGCCAAATTAATCATGGATATTTTGTGTGTGTTACCTCCCCTATTTTGGTGCTGTTTTCATTGTTATAAATGCAGCTGACATGGTGATAGGCCACTTACAAATAAAAGCCTTTTAACTAAATGGAGTTCAGTGGGATACCTCTGCTTTATCTAATGTTATATATGCAAGAATTTCATAAAATCATAATTTTTTAAACTTCAGAGACAATACTGATACAGCAAACACTCAACTATACACACAGTTTCTTGAGAGACTTCAAGTATTTCTTCAAGCATTGTGAAACCATAGTGAACACCATTTAACAATGATACTCGGCTTTCCCTTTGTCTCTGAAGTGGCAGTAGTTCTATTAATGAAAGTATTAATCCTACATGGAATGTGTTCGTTAGTTATTATGAAAGACTTAAGTGCCGACTGAAATGCAAGATAATCCAGGTCATGTGATAAAAGGAAAATCAATGCGGAAAACAAACATCATTTTTTAATGTTGTTTATTTGTAGATTAAAATGTAATGCCATACAATTTTAACAATCACTTAAAAAAGGATTTATATTTGCATAAAACAGAAGCAAAACAGAAATATATGAAATAAAATGCCATCTTGCTTCAAGTTTTCAAATCAGTACTTAGAGTACTAATATACATCTATGTACATTGCAAGTATATTATATAAATATACTCTGATTAATCTTGAAACCACAATAAATATCAAGTAGGATTTTAGGCACACGGCATAAGAAAAATGCAGAATTTGCATAATTCTTGAGAGTGCTGAGTGACTCACTCTTGGATCACTTTCATACATATATTTTACACAGAATGTACAGCCATCACTCGCATGATCTTCAATCACCTATGAATCTAACCTTTCATCCCAGCATTAGTGCCTTCTTATTCTTTGCTACTATTGCTCTATGCAGCTATTACATAAGAAAATATTTTGCAGCTTTCTTCAACTAATCGCCTAAAAAGGTATCAATGCTACCAAAATAAGTACAGCCTATCTACACAATAGATTCATGGAAATGTGCTGAGAGGCACCAACTGACAGAACTGCTCATTGTAATACTGGGATTTGTCCTGAAGGTAAACTTATACATTTGAAGGTATACCATTTTTGAATTGCCAATATTACTAAGTCCAGAAATTATCAGAAACTGAGGTAACACCTGTTTTTTTTTTAAATAGAAATACTTGAAAAGACACCAAAAGTACCTTAAAGAATCCCAACAAACGTGGACCTCACTCATTATAAGCTTTGTTTTAATCCTGTCTGCACAAATGTAAACCAAAGAATCCAAAGGAATGCTCTAGCTGAACTGACATACACTGTTAGGAGTAGAGATCACAGCCATGGAACACCTGAGATCGCCCTCTGATAAGTGAAGCCTAGTGCTTCCCTTAAGTAGAGCCAATGTTCATTGATAGAAATGAACCAGATAAAACCTGCTGATTTTTCTCCCTAGCTACAAATCAGATTCTGGCATATCTGGCATATCCGCCATCAAGTACCCTATTCCATACCGTCCATTGGGAGCTGTATCCAGAGTTGGTGATCCACTCTGCTTTCGATAAATATTTTTACCAAAATTTGGGGATGACATCTCGCTTGGTATCTTTCCATGAATGAGGCTTGCATCATCTCCCTCTAGGTTTACAGGCTCTTTCAGGGCCCTTCCTCTCTTATAGGTCACAGATGCTAAATTACCAGAACTATCATCTATGAGGTTGCAGCGACGAACAATGAAGACTACTGGGACAGGGAGTATTGCAAGGATTATCAGAGAGATACAGACAGCCATTCCCCACATTGGGTAGCTCAGAAATTCTTCAGATGCCTGTAGGAGCCAAAAAATAATAATTAGCAACCCATTTTTTGCACATAATATTCACTTCAATGTTTACTTATTTTATGTAATTATGTTTACATGACTCATGCATATATTTATGCAGATATTTTTAAATAAGATACCATTTAATAAATTTATTTAGCAATGTTTCTGGAGATTTGATTAATATGTTTTCTAGAGTCAAAGACCCAATAATTGCAAGTTCATAATGTTAATGAATCAGTTTTGGTAAGGACAAAATTAGGGTTCACCATGTGATAAATTCATAATTTATTCAAAACACAGACGTTTAGAACATAAAACATGTATCTCAAGATTCTCACATAAAAGCAACATCTTTCAATAAACATCAAAAATGCTGTGAAGAAAACAAAAGGCAAAAACCTCTAAGCTAGCAATTTTGTCCACCTTTTAATATCTAACCTTTTATTTTTTATTTTACCTTATCTTCAATCCATGCATTATAGCCAGGAGGACTTAGTCCCATATTCACAATGCTAGCTATTAGCAATGATACTAGCATTAGAGGAGAAATATATTTCCACATATAGTAGTAGTATTTGCTTGGAGCAAAGCCCAGCATATCTTTTAGGTCCTCCATAAACCTAAGTAAAAATAAAATATTTAATTATTTATTCAGTTAATTTTGCTATATTTTAAAATGTGCATTAAATCAGTGTTATGACACACTACATTGAATCAAAAATTAATATTAGAAGATGACTTATAAATTAAGAAATACGTAACATAAAGTGAAACTAGTTACATATGATTTTTATTTAGTGAAACCCAGTCATTTAAAGCCAATCATTTAAAAGACTCTTCCTACTGAAAAATTCCTGTCCTATAAGCACACTGTTTGAAGTATATTAAAATTATTTGTTTTTATTGTGATAATAATATCATCAGATACCCCTAATCAGGATTTATAGTTTCTTAACTTACTTCCTTTTACAGTCTGTTTGAATTGAAGGAAGATCCACAATTTGAAACTAACTGACATATCTCTAAAGCCATTATTAACCTCCAGGCTCCCCTGGCAACTCTTTTTTATTTCTACATCATTTTGAAGTATTGTTTATAATTTATTTTGCTGTGTGATTTTCTTGGTAGGGATATTATTCTGCTCCTGTATTTTTCTTAAAATAATATCTCATAAGACTTAATCATACTTAAGTAAAAGTGAATTCCCCTGCATATTTAGGAGGGAGAGATAAGCATGTCCTCTCTATTTCTGCAAAGCAACCAAGGACTGGCCTCGTATTGGACCACCTCTGCTCTCTTCCTCATATTTATCTGGTGTCATGGATCGTTTCTTTTTAGCACTGAATAATATCCCATGGCTTGGGTATATGTGTGAGTGCTCTTCAGAATTTTATGGGAAATTGCATATTATGAAAATACTGTGCCAGGATTTCAAAAACTATTTGCACCAAAATAAACATATTTTAAAGTTTGTTTTCCATGAGTTTTTGAAATTTCCTCATACTGTTTTATTTAGCCAAGGAGATCTTGATTGTTTCCCAGTTTTGGTAATTACGAATAAAGCTACGTGAATGTGTTTTCAACTCATGTTGATCGAAAAGGAGTGACTGCTAGATCATTCAGTAAGCCTGTGTGTTGTTAGGGTAGAAACTGTCTTCTAAAGGGGCTGTACTGTTCCGTTCTAATTAGCAGTATATCAGCATTTTGTGTTGTCAAATTTCTCAATGGGCATTCTAATATGCATGTAGCTATATCTCGTTGTTTTAATTTTCATTTCCTTGATGATATATGGTATTATTAATAATCTTTCCATATGCTTATTTGCCAACCACACAGAGGTTTATTTTTTTTTCAATCTACTTGCTTTTTATTTATGAAGTTATCTTGGTGATTATATATATTTTTCTTCCATTTTAATTTACTTAGTTGAAAGGAAGACAAAAAAAGACAAAGAGAAATCTCACATCCACTGACTCACTTCCCAGATGCCCACAATAGCTAGCGCTGCTACCCTGGGTGCACGTTATTAGCAGGAATTTGTAACCAGGAGTAGAGCAAGACTTGAATCCAGGCACACCAATGCAGGATGCAGGCATCTCAACTGGCATTTCAGGCTTAAGACTTACTCTATGCCAGACATCAGTTAATACTATTGCTACATAATACATGACTGTTAAATGTTCTATCTTTCTTGACCTAGAACTACTTAGAATAATAATAAATATATTCTCTAAGCTTGTTACAGAGACCATTGAATGCTAGTAATATTCTCTGTGTTGCTTATGATGGCTCTTGTCTTCACTCATGGTGCATTTATTCCTACTCTTAACACAGTGCTATAATAAGATTGATGATGTTACTGTCTTTCAGCCCATGTATATGTGAATTAAACCATTACTTTTAAAAAACACTAGCCATCCTTCAGTTATCTTTTTTTCTAGATTACTGTGATGCTTTCTTTAATATCAAATACATATTTTGACCTAAGCAGGTATATAACTGGATATTTAGGCATATAGTGAATTCAAGTAATGTCTCCATATAAATATGGAGCTGCTGTGTAGCATACACACACACGCATACATGTGCACACATACATACTTACCAATCAGTAGACATCATGTCCCAAAATTCCTACTACATAAAGCATGATGGCATACACATTCTTCTCATCAAACAGACCAGTAAAATGATTAGAACACAGGATTTAGTGTTACGCATAAATGGCCATGCATCTCAGTCCCATCTATCCAGTTGTGTGATAATCAGCACACTTGGTTACTGTCTAAGCCTTATTTTCCTTATTTGTAAAATGTAGATACAATAATAACTCAAAAGAACTTTAGATTTTTACAAATTAACCAATACTTACTAGATCTTGAAAGTTACTCTTTGATAACCAGATTTAAGTCTAAGCTCCAGAATTCTGCACAATGCTACAGTCAACATGATTCTAGCTGCCCATTTAATATGCAAATATACTTTACTAAAATTGTTGAAAGAGCAAAGGGCCTGTAGGAGATTTGATTTTGCAAACGATTCTTCTTCTCCTCTCAATTAATTTTCCTCTTCTTCTAAATTAAAAAGATACTGATAATTGGTGTTTTCAAAACAGAGTATAAAATGAATGCATAAAAGCAAAAATACTTACTTATCTATGCCATAAACAAAGCTTACAGCAATATTCTCCAAGATGACTACAATTAGCAGAGGCAGTGTAGCAGAATAATCATCAAACATTGTAACAAAGTAATTTCCAGAGCGTTGCACAAATATGAGGCCAATACAAAATGCCAGAAGGCAGCAGATAACTGGACAAAAGGAACAAATAAAAAAATTAGCCCCTATTCAGAGTCAAATATTTTGAACTTCATTGTGAATTTTTTTAAAAAAGCCTTTTTTGATTTTCAAATAGTTTTAAATTTACAAAACAAAAAATTTTAGTACAAAATTATCATAGTCAAACTTCTATTAAAACTTTTATATTGAATCAGTTACATAAATAGGCAACAGATATTATGAATATACTATGGACTGCAACATATTTTGAGTTAAATTACCTGAGATTAGCCCCAGCTTTAGTATTAATTCACTGTAGGACAATACTTCATCTCTGAGACTGTAGAAACATATTTCCCAAGCATAAATAATAAATTGGGCAAAATTGACAGAAGAATTTTAGAAGTATAAATTTCCATACCTTACTCCTATGATTAATAGGAAAGTAACTTTTCCAGTCATCAAGTATCCATAGTTCCTTTTTACCTTTAAATATTATGCTATCGTGTTGATATTCATACAGAATTTTTAAATTAACAATGACCATGTGGCTTATAATAACTTTATGAAGCCCACATTTTTATCTCCATCTTACCTGAACAGATATCTTTATCTGACTTCAACAGATTAGTTTGGAAACCAATTATAACAGCATTGAGAAACTGATTATCAAAGCAGGAAGCAATAACTAATTAGATTCATCTAAAAGGAATTTCTGAAGTAATATTTAAGAAACAAATGTATAAACTTTGACCAGCTACCATTAAATTAGAAAGAGAGGCTTTCAGAATCTATACACTATTCCTATATTTTGAATTCTTTCTACTTTCATGCTCATTAGCAGGGAGACCCACGACAGAAAAGACATTCTCTTTCTCAACCACCTTTTAACAGAAATGAGTAAACTGAAAACAGTAAGGCAATGACTGCAGTACAGGAAAGAACAGATATCTAGGGATTCGATCCCATGAAGGTTATCTAATAATATCAGTAAGTATGCATTAATTAACCCCATTACCTCTCCATCTTAAGTACTGTACTGGAGCTATGAGTTACACCACATGAAAATGACTATCATTTGTAAACACACAATGTAGGAAAGGAAATAACACTTCACCTGGAGTCTACGGCATCATATTGATTGCAAATGTGTGTCAGAGTATCCAGGTCATTTTAATTATCTCACTTAACTTTTATACCATCCCAAATTAATTTAATTTAATTTTGTGTGTTCTTTCCATTCTACAAACGAGAGAAATTACCCTGAAGAATTTAAGTACTGTACTCAAAAACATGAGACTGGAAGTAGCAGAGCTTGGAGATGCACCAAGTCCGTCTGACTCAATAGCCTGGATCACTCTCTCCTAATTACACCCTAGTAGAACATAAATAGGAAGAAAGTGCCTTCTCAGCAATACAGATAGCATGCGTTTGGCTGGAGATGTAAGAGTACAAGATAATGAGTAATTCGCTTACCTAAATCTCACTGAATTGTTAAAGAAAACCTCACCTAACAAATGTGATGAGGTTAACATTTCATCAAGGTCAAATATAACTTGAAATATAGGTATGAATCCAAAGGACAGGAAATGGGGGTAAACAGTGCATTCTCCTTTGCTTTCTCCAAATAACTTTTCCAGTGGGAGTCTGCAAATATTACCATGTGTGATTTTCTCTCCACACTGTTACCTTTTTCTTTAATTTTGCAAGCTCTTTACCATGGGGGGATGGATTGAATATAGGGGGATAATTATGCAGAGATGACTTTTTTGTAGCCAGCATATAAGCCAGGCTATTAATATTCAGAAGAAACTGCTTTCTGGGGAAAAATAAAGATGTTTCTTGTTTTTGTTCAGCCAAGTTGAACATTTATACACACACACACACACACACACACATACACAAAACAAATTGCTGACATTAAATTGTTTTAATACACACATGCAAATTTAGCAGAACAAGTTTAAAAGGTATATATCTTAGAACTATTTGCACATAAATCATTGCTATATCTATCAGGGCTAAAATAAAAAACCTTGACAGAGCTTGTGAACCATTGCCTAGGGCTTAAGATCACCTATGCATCTTTTTATTCAATCTTATTTTTACATCACTCAAGTCTTGTTCCTGTACTTCTGGTCTGGCTAACTTCCCTACTGCTCTCTTTATCTTAATTGATTATGTCCATTAAAGCTACACTCTGACCCATGCTTAAGCCCTTCTACTTCCCAATTCAATTCTCTGACAGTTCCATCATATATTTGGGTAACTAAATCTCTTTTGAATTCTTAAAATGTGAAATCTCCATAATGTTCTCTGTCAGTCTATTATATTACATGATACAAGTCTTATCTACTCAACCTGATTCTAATTTCAATAGTACTATTTTTGAAAAGGAGACCCTTTCATATCTCTGTGTCTCTTACCATTGCTATTATTTCCTTCAAATGCAAGGAAGATGCAGTACAGATGAAGTATTTCAATAAAATGTGCAGACTACTGGACATATGAACAACCATCCAAACTGACAAGATGGTTTCCTTTTCTTCCTTCTTAGACATTAACTATTAGTAAACCACAATTGCTAGTATATATGAACACAAGCTTCAGTATTCTCACTTCAACAATGAACTTTTTGGATAAAGATGATTGGATCAGAATTGATTCATTTTCTGAAGAATTATTTATTTATTTATTTATTTGAAATACAGATTGATGGTGAGAGAGGGAGGAAGGATAAGAGAAAGAGAGAGAGAGAATCTCCCATCTAGTGGATCATTCCCCAGATGGCTACAATACCCAGGTCTTGGCCAGGCAAAATTCAGAGCAAGGAACTCCATCCTGGTCTCCCACATAGGTGGCAGGACCCAGGTATTTTGGCTATCTTCTGCTGCCTTTTCAGGCACATTAGCCCAAAGATTGATTAGAAACAGAGCATCCAGGACTTGAGCCAGCTCTCTAATATAGGATGCTAGTGTCCAAAAGCAGCATGCCACAATGCTGGCCCCCCAAACTGTTCCATTTAATTACTTGACTTGTATGTAAGATTATGCATAAATATTCTATGACTTTATTTTTGGGTCAGCAATTCATTATAGTGGCATTAATTACCAGTACTAGTACTACTGTAGTGAAATAATAAAGTAATAATTAAATGTAATATCCATTAAATATATAGTATATACATTATATAAATGTAATAATAAATATTAATAAACAGAATAAGTAGACATCAATAAAGTCTAAAACATAAAACTTTTCTGTTTCTATCTGCAAACTCTCACCAAGAACAGAATGATCTCTATCAGTTCAGTACAGAGTTACGTACACTACAAACTTACCAGTAAGAATTTCCTTCCTCACTTTGAAGGTGTCCACAATAGGGGTGATGATCCCTTCAATGGTTCCAAACATGCTGCCAAGCCCTAGGTTCACCAGCATGAGGAAAAACATCACCGACCAGAAAGGAGATGCGGGGAAATGCGTCATCGCTTCTGTGAAGGCAATAAAAGCTAAGCCAGTCCCCTGAACAGCCTGTAAGGCATACAAATGGCAGTATTAGAACATGGCAATATTAAGTTGTGGCTCTGTATATCAGTGAGAACGGCGAGGGCAATCCGCAAACGATGGTCAGAGGCTACTGGAGATAAACATGCCAACATCTGCCTTTGACCTGTTAAACCACATATTTTCTTTCTCAGAACCCAGATTTACTCAGACCAAGTAGATCCAAATAATGAAAATCTTCTCATAAATACCGGAGTACACAAACAAAAAACAAGGATAATGCAAAAAAGTCCATGTGAAATGAAATTAAAGATAAGTATTAGAGACTTAATACTTTATGGTTCTATTAACATTTATGAACATAAGTAGTGATTTATTATCACAGATACATAACATATCACAGATTTATTATCACAGATACATAAATATACATGTAAATATATAAATATATACATATACAATGATTTCTGACTAATATATTAAAATAGAAAATATTTATTTTTTACCATTCCTCAAAGTAGATTAATCAAATGGTATAAAAAAGACTATGAATGATAAAATTGTTTGAATAAAAATGTGAATGCAAAGCAAAAAGATGTGAATAGAATAACTGGATTATAAAGTCACTGCTCAATGTTTAAAAAAACTACATCTTCCGGCGCCGGCACACCGGGTTCTAGTCCCGGTCGGGGCGCCGGATTCTGTCCCGGTTGCCCCTCTTCCAGGCCAGCCCTCTGCTGTGGCCAGGGAGTGCAGTGGAGGATGGCCCAGGTGCTTGGGCCCTGCACCCCATGGGAGACCAGGAAAAGCACCTGGCTCCTGGCTCCTGCCATCGGATCAGTGGCGGCCATTGGAGGGTGAACCAACGGCAAAAGGAAGACCTTTCTCTCTGTCTCTCTCTCTCACTGTCCACTCTGCCTGTCAAAAAAAAAAAAAAAATACATCTTCATTGTTTCTATTTCTCCTCTTGCCACTACTCTGCCAAAAAGTCCAAGTTGACATGCTGGTGTTCATAATTCAAGAGACATAGTGAATTTCCAGTTAATATCAGTAACAAAGTGGATAAAAGTAAAAATCTCCAACCAGAGTGGAATGTGATTCCTAGAAAATATTAACTTGAGATGATTTGTGTATATATAAATGCCACAGATATAGAATTCTGAAATAATAACTTACTTCTCCTAAGAGACCATCTAACAAAACTCCAAGTTGATTGTGTTATCTCATAAATAAAATAGACCAGAATTAATTTTTAAAACTTTGAAGAATAAATTGATATTTAGTTAACTGTTCCCTTAAGGTAAATTAGGTTATTATATTAATGATGGCTTCGCTCATGATTTTTTGTACATGGCTGTTTTAATATTTTATTTTTTATTTATTTTCATTTACTTGAAAGAGAGAAAGAGAGAGATCTTCCATTCTTTGGCTCACTCCCTGAATTCCTGCCACAGCCAGCACTGGGCCAGGCAGAAGCCAGGGCCAAGAAACTCCATACAGGTCTCCCAACTGTGGCAAGGGCACAAGTACTTGAGCCATCACCCTCTGCCACCACAGTGTGTGCATTAGCAAGAAGCTGGATCAGAGGTGGAGGCAGGACTCCCACCTAGGGACTCCAGGAAGGATGCAGCCATTCTGAATGGTGGCTTAACCTGCTGTGCCACAAAATCCTCCCCTGAAATTGCTTTTAAAATAAAGTGTATCTGGGTTATATAGGACATCACGTTCACTGAGATGAAGAACGAATTTTTGAAACAGCATAATCATTCCTAGGCATTTGAAAGGCCATTTTCATGAAAGCAGCCTGCTGGATAATGCAGATTGTAACTGAATGATAATCATTTTATTGCTCAAACATGGACTACTAACTTGATTTAGCTCATCTTCAATTTGGCAGGAATTGAGACGAAGAGCAGGAAATTCTTCTTCCGTCACTTTTTGAATGATGTCATAAACCAAATGATAATCTTCTGCAGTCACAGCTGAAAGGTTGATGTGATGGGGAATAATATCCTCACTGATGTTTCCCATTTTCAAAAATTTGACAATCATTTCGGAATTTCTGAAAAAATAGAAAAAGAAAGCATACATATGAGCTCCCAGGGTCCTTTGATGTATAATTTGTGTATAATTGTACCATCAAAAGCTCATGGAAGTAAAGATCCATACTGTGCGATGCATTTCTCATTGACAACGTTTGCTTTGAACCCCAGAACTGCAAACACCACCAGCGTTGCCAGGACAGAGGTGAAGAAGTTGATGAAAGACACCAGGACAGCATCAAAGTGGCAGTTGTTGTCTCTCTTGTTGTAGCTGGAAAATGCAATGACACCACCAAATCCCAGACCCAAGGCGAAGAACACCTGGGCAGCGGCTTCTCTCCAGACCTTGGGCTCCAGCATTATTTCAAGCTGTTTAAAAGCAAACATAGCAGAGATCAGCTACACAGTTAGACTTCAGAATAATTAACTTGTGGAATTTGTCTGTTGGATAAATATGGTAAAATAACATTTATGTACCCACAAGTCGCTTAAATCTGCGAGATGACCTGTTTTTATGCAGATGTAACTAATTTTTAGGATTTCTTTAGGAAAGAAATAAAGAAGAATAAGAAAACTATCAAGCCCATACATGGGGATTTTACTTACATGAAGATTTTTCTACTTATATAGGAATTTTTTTTGGAAAAGCACACACACACACACACAGTTATTTCCCATTACATTTTCTTAATAACCCTTAAATAATTAATACTCCAAGTTTTGTGTTTTCTCATGGAAATCTTACAGTTGTAAGCAGCAGATAATAATCATGAACTCCGTACAGTAGAACTGTGTGTACTTTCCATGTTCATATGTGTGTTAGACATTCATTCAATGGATTCCTGAAAACCATTTCATTAAAAAATAGTAGAAATTCAACTATGTCGTCTATATATGCCCTTTCAGATCAAAAGTCCTAGTGTTCTAAATCTGTGCAGAACACATATTTCAAAAAACTGTGTTTATTCCTTCTATAATTATTACTGTATATAATCAAAACTTCTGATGGAACAATTAATACTAGCTATAAATTATGTAGACTTCAATATCAAGTAAGTTAGGTTTTGGTAATATGTGGTATTGGCTGAATTAGAATACTATCTCTTTTTGCCACTGCAATGAAATCGTCTTTATTTGGAACAACATAAAACTTGGTTAAGAACATGAGTTTCCCAGAGAGTTTAAGATCCTGACTCTGATATTCAATAATTTTAAAGTAGTGCATTCTAGGAAAAGTGAAATGTCTCTTCTAGGTTGCATCTTTCTCAACAGAAAGATGAGAGCCACAGTAGTGTGTGTTTGTTAATTGATAACATATGTGAACTATAGTGTTGGACACACTGATAAGTACTGTACTAGGTCATCTTCCTTAATCACAGAAATCCATGGAGCAGTTGCAACTATCATCTGAATCAGGAAACAGTCAAGCAACCTAGCGCAGGTTACACAGTAGTTTGGGTGTAGAGGTGAAATATAAACACAGGTCAATTCTGTAATCCATGCCCTATCAAATATTAGGATGCATTGCTTAAATTAATTTTAATATTATTACTGAAAATTTTTAAAGGTGTTCATGAAAAATAATCATTATTGTCTATAATTTATTCGTAATCAACTAAGGTATTACAGTACCAGACCATTGTCTTTCTCAATTTTGCCCACTAGATGGCAGAAAATACCTATTTACTAATGCATTCCGATGACTTCCAATTTCTGAAAAATCCATTCACTGATTCTGTAGTATTTTGTGTGATTGCATACTTTCTTCCACACACATAGTAATATAAACTAATAAATAATTTACAGCTATTTGTCATTCTTACAGAAAATGTCTCATCCTACTGTGACCTTTATAAAGCATCTTAACAACGAAAAGCAAGCTGCAGAAGGAATTAACATTTTAATAACGATCACTAGTCCAAGTAAAAATAATACTAATTTGTGCTGCATTTTTAAAGACTTAGGCAATATGAAAGTATTACATAGAAGCATTAAAGTTGTGAAAGATACACATATCCCAAATGAAAGAGAACTATTTCCCAAGTAATTGCCAACGTGGAGATATATTCTAGAGATTCACACCGAATTTGGTTATTTTAAACTCAGAAAGTATTTTTGCTTGATATTATAAATATAAATATTTTTGATCATTAAATACGGCCCATTTGAAGCAGATCTCATTTCTAACATGACCGGAATTCATGAATCTTAACTCATGTTCACTAAGGAGAAGTACCAGCAACTCTGTGAAATAGATCCTTTGAACTGGCCGAGAAAACCAGACGCCACTGTCAGCACTTTTGCTGCTACAGAATGAATACCAACTCAGAACCAGACACGCAAAGAATACAGCTTTTTTTACACAGTATCAAGGCAGCTGCTCTGAGTGACAAAGAATTCCAGAGAAGCGAATCCCTCCTGTCCAAACCCTACAGCATGATGCTGGCTGCCACTCCTTCTTCAGATAACTTCCAATTTTAATATTAGTTTTTAAATTATCTTTATATACTTGTACCTTTATGTTAGCCAAGACAATGTTAATAGCAAACTAACAGGGAGGTACAACTTCATTGTGTTGAATAAAACAAATACACCCCAAAATTTATTTTTGTTTCCTGTCAAATCAAAGTAATAGGGTATGACAGAAATCAAGTTATGATTAACCAGGTTCAATGCATCCAGCATTGAGTTCAGCTCCATTAAGTTGTATGGCAGAGCGTAAGTTCTATGAAGCTTAACGAGAATTTTCCTGAGATGTTCATGAATTGATAAAAGTTACAGAATGCCCCAAACCGACCACTATAAATTTTACCCCAGGAAGACAGACAATCCAAAACAAAACAGAAACTAGAAAATACTGATTTTTCTCTGAGACAGAATTTTACCACGAAGTTCTTAACCTGAGTCCATGGACTTTAGGTAATCTGTCGTTCTCCTGAGACACTACACAGATTAATAGGTTCATTCTTTTTTTTCTGGTAAAAGGATTCCTATTTTCATTTTTGCAAAGGGGTCCATAAAAAGGTTAAGAATCACTGAAACAGAGATGGGAGAGTAAATGAAGACTGAAAAGTTCTAAAACACATCAGTGTAATCACTGGAGGTTAATTTACAAATGCGGATTTTTGAAGTTTAAATATTGATGGTCTTACTCCAGAGCCAAAATGGGACACTAAAAATTGAAGGCAAACAGATGTAATTATAGATGCTATATAAAAGTTCTGGATTTTACAGGCTGGTTAACATAACAACTACATTTAAGTCTAATGTACATATGTTTGAACAATTAGCCCTTAACTGTAACTGTGAGAACATTTTAACAATTCCCAAAATGTTTTCATGACTGTAAATGTTAAACAGAAATATGGCACATACCTTGGGTGTGAACATATGACGGATGCCATCAATGGAACCATTTAAAAGAAGTGCTCTGATTAGGAAGCATATAAGTACTACATAAGGGAACAGAGAACTAAAATACATAATCTGCAAGGAAAGGAAAATAGAAACAGGTGAACACACAAGTACATTTCTTTTCAGTAGTTAAGATTAAATGCGTTCTATTCCATATTTTAACAGTTACTGTTTTTAATGTTATTATTAAAAACTTGTAAAGCCATCTGAGAATAGCTAATTTGCCTTGATTGGTTTATGTAAGTATTAATTTTACAAATTTTTAAAGATTTATTTTATTTATTTGAAATTCAGAGTTGGAGGGAGGGAGGGAAGAAAGAGAGAAAACCTTCCATCTGCTGGCTCACTCGCCAGAAAGCTGCAACGGCCGGGGATTAGCCAGGCCAAAGCCAGGAGCCAGGCGCTTCATCTGGGTATCCCATGTGGGTGGGAGGTGCCCATGCACTTGGGCCATCCTCCACTGCTATTCCCAGGCGGTTAGCAGGGAGCTGGATTAGAAGTGGAGCAGCAGAGACTCCAACTAGTGCCTATATGGTATCACAGGCATCACAGGTAGCAACTTTACCCACTACACCACAATGCTGGCCCCAGATGAAAAAATTTTTTAAGTCTGCATTTAATCTACTTTGAACTAATCCATAGGTATAGTGTAGCATGAACAGTGTCTATTCCTTAAAGTTCATAAAACAAGCAATACTTAAGAGAGAAATGAACAGGTTCTAACTCCCTAACAAATCCTACTTTTGTCATTTTACCTTTTGCTTATATATATATATTTTGACAGGCAGAGTGGACAGTGAGAGAGAGAGACAGAGAGAAAAGTCTTCTTTTACCATTGGTTCACCCTCCAATGGCCACCAAGGCCGGTGTGCTGCGGCCGGCGCACCGCGCTGATCCAAAGCCAGGAGCCAGGTGCTTCTCCTCGTCTCCCATGCGGGTGCAGGGCCCAAGCACTTGGGCCATCCTCCACTGCACTCCCTGGCCACAGCAGAGAGCTGGACTGGAGAGGGCAACCGGGACAGAATCCAGTGCCCCAACCGGAACTAGAAACCGGTGTGCCAGCACCATAGGCAGAGGATTAGCCTACTGAGCCGAGGTGCCCGCCTATTTTTTGCTTATTTTTTAATTTGAAAGGCAGACAGACAGAAAGAGACAGATGGAGATCTATCCACTCATTTACTCCCCAAATGTCCTGAATAATCAGGACTGGGCCAGGCCACAGCCAGGAGCTGGGAACTCAATCTGGGTGTCCCTGTGGATGGCGGGACACGTCTGCCTTCATCTGCTGCCTCCCAAGGTGCACATTTTAAGAAAACTGGATTGGAAGCAGAGAAACCTGTACTCAAATCAGGCACCGACTATTGAATGAGAGTGTCCCAAGTAGTGTCCTAACATAAGCCTAGAGCCCACTCCACTTATCTTAATTAGCAAAAACACAAGGCATATTTTAAACGAAGTTTCATTACAATTCTACAAAGCTTTCCAAAGTACAGAATGGTCCCAATGCTAAGTCTGCTTCAGTTCTGAACAGTTAAACATGTAATGCTTTACCTTCTACTTCACCTCTTTTTTTTTTTTTTTTTTTCTCCCCAGTAACTTTCTAATCACTGAAAAGGAACTCTCCTTTTCATACCATTCACCGACTCCCAGACAAATTTTTTCGGGTCCAGAAATGAACTTTTGAATTTCCCCAAAGTTGTTCCCACCTATGTCCATTTCAGAAAATGGACTCCCACCATTCATCTGATTGCTAAATCAAACATCTACAAGTAACAGATAATGTTCTCCTGGGACAAGAATAAGCCTAATGGGCAGCTGAATTTAACATTCCTAGCTCTGGCTCCTGACTCCAGCTTCCATCTAATGCATACCCTGGGACGCAGGAGGGATAGCTCAATTCAGCTCCTGCTACCTCCATGGAAGCTTGAATTGAGGACCCAGGTCCCAGCTGTGGCCCCAGCCCCAGACCTTGCCGTATTTGGGGAATCAACCAGCAGTTGGAACTCCTCTCTAGTAATTAAAAATAAATAAATAACCTCTCCTAACTGGGTTTCCATACTACTACTAAGGTTATATCATACCCTGTTTAAAACACTCCAAGAATGTCTTAATACCATTGGAATAAAATGCTGATTCCTTCCTCTGACCTGCAGAGCCTTAACTAGAGTGCCTGCCTAAATGTCCTCCAAATCACCCCAGCCCCACCCCACCCCGGTTCCTTGCTGATCTCCAGCCCTTCAAGCTCTTGCTATCTTGTGAGGATACCTAGTCCAGTCAGCCTTGGGGGCAGAGAAAGGATGGGTCCTCTCATCTCCCTCTTCTGCACGTGATTCTCATCTTCGTCGTCTCCTGAAGGTTCTCACTGACCATCCAACACAAGGCTATACTTTTTCCATCCTGTTTTCTCCATTGCCCCTGATCCCCACCCACCCCAGCAACCTTCAGTGATATCACCTTGATTTTGCTTGTTTTAGCATCACTTAGCACTGTTGGAATTATTTATATTTATTAGTCCCCTACACTGGAAAACAAGACAGTTTATTTTCATCTGCTTGAAAGGCAAAGCAAGAGAGAGAAGAGAAACATACAGGAAGAAAGAGAGAGACAGAAAGACATCTTCCATCTGCTGGTTCAGTCCCCTAACGTACACAATAGCTTTCAATGGCTCAGGAGTCTGCAAATCCATCCAGGTCTCTCACATGGGTGGCAGGGAACCAAGCACTGAAGCCATCACCTGCTGCTTTCCAGGATGTGTTAGTAGGAACCAGGATCAGAAGCCAAGGATCCAAGACCTGAACCAGCACTCCAATAAGGGATGCTAATGTCCCAAGTGGGGACCTAACCCACCGTGCCACAACACCAGCCCAACATTTAGCACTCTTTTGTGAGGTACTTTTATCTCACTTGAATTACAGCTCTCTCCTTTATGATTCTCCTTTGCAAATATTAAAGCTTCAAGCCAGATGATGTGTCTATCCTCACAGTTTTCACTCTAGTGGCAGAAGAAGGCAAACAATAAGTGACTTCATAAAATAATTTTAGACAGCAAATCATAAAATAAGGGATGGTAAGGAGAAAGAGTTTGGGGTGTATATAAGTTGGATTCAATGTACTTGAAGCTGATTCTTTTGGTATGCTAAAATTAAAGACATATGATTAAGTCCAAAGAATATATATTTAAAAACATCATGGAAAGTGGGCATTTAGCTCAACAGTTAGATGCCCATATACCACATCCAGAGTACATGGGTTTGATGCCCAGATCCAGCTCCTGACACCAGCTTCCTGCTAATGCAAGTGGGAGGCAGTAGTGATAACCCACTTGGGAGATCAGTGTTGCATTCCTGGTGCCTGGCTTCTGCCTGGCTATTGCAGGCATTTGGAGTGAATCAGAGAATATGTGTGCTCTTCAGATGTCTGTCTCTCTGCCTGTCAAGTAAATTAAAATTTAAAAAATAAATGTCTCCATAAAGTGCCGACTTAAACAATAGGGTACTTCAAAATATTTGTGAAATGTGTATATTAAGTTTTAATTCCATTTGCCATGAATTTTTAAAAAGAACCCTCATACATCCTTTTAAATCTGGGCATTTAATGTTTGGATATTTTGTATTTTCATCTGGTCATAGAAGAATGAAATTGAAGTTGTGATCTTAATTCCATTTACATGTTTAAAATTGTGACTTGTTTTTCTCCATATTATGCGATTGGAAAGTTTCTGTCCATCCTTATAAAGCTAAATTAGAGTCTTATCACAGAATCCACATCAGTGTATTTAAGAGCTCATATGTTTGTTGAATTTATAAGCCAGAGTTGAAATAAGGCTGATTATATAATTAGTATATAGTTTTAAAATACTACATAATTCAAATTTCTTTTAGAAAATGAGTTCTTAAAGAAAAATTTAACTTCCCATAAATCCTCTCTTAATACACAATGTTTTAGAGTGTGCCAAGAATAATATGACACAGTCTTGCCATCATGGAATTCATAGCTTAATGAGTGAGATGGATAATTACAATTTAAGTCAGTAATAGAAGCACGTAGAAAGTACATAATAGCATAGAGGCAGCCATTTAAATTGTCCTGGATTTGAAAGATTTCACATAGGAGGTAACATTTGAACTAGAGTTTGATGGTTGAAGAGTTGTGTGCTAGAAATTTGAGAGAGAACATTTTAGGCAAGCACGAAAGAGAGCCCATGCAAAATCCAGACTGCTGAGTACTCCTGTGAGTTTTACATATAGTTTGTGCAGCTTGTGGGAGATGAAGCATGAAATGCCAGTTGATTGCAGATGCTGAAGGATCTGTGGGCAGTGATAGGCAAAGAGTAGAACATTCAAAGATGCGTATCTTTTCAGTATCACCATCAGATCTTTGGAAAGATCACTGTGGAAGCAGAGTAGATGATGGATATCTGGGATGCATGGGAGAAATGACAGAGATAGTCAGAAGGCAAGATACAAGAGGAAACTATTGTCATGCAAACAGGTGACAGATCACCAAGAATGGAAACGAGGGGACAGATGTGAGATTCCTGTGGTAGAATCAGTTGGACTTGGCAAGAAGTTGGTTGTGGGACACGGGGAAAAGAACATGTTAAGGATGTGTTGGAGTTGTTCTGCTTGGAAAAATACAAGTACAAGATGAATCTTTTCCTCTCTTCATGCTTAAGTTGAAATTATAGAGAGTATAAAAATAAAATTATGAAGCAAAACATACATGTAAAATTTGAAGGTATTATTTTAATTAGAAAAGCATAATCAGCCTCTCCAGAATATAAATATGTAGCCTTCATTTTCACTTGAAAAATAAGTGAGATTAGCGATATTTTAGGACACCTGTCACTACATTTGATTTCTGTTGAAAAACAAAACAGACAAGACATTGTGCAAATCATAAAGCTAGTTGCTATACTTCCAGAATTAGATCAGTGACTGAGATACAATAAGTATTTAATAAATATTTGTTAAATAAATAACTTCATGAATGCATAGCCACTATATTGTCCAAGAAGTACACATTTTTAGAATTGGAAAATAAATATGAAACACATTCCTTTGTATGATTTTTAAGTCCTGTTGGCTTTTGAGAAATAAAACACCTTTGAAAAACACATTGGGTCCGGCATTGTGGTGTACCAGGTAAAGCCATCACCTGCAAAGCCAGCATCGCATATGGGCACTAGTTCATGTCCTAGCTGCTCCACTTCTGATCCACCTCCCTGCTAATACACCTGAGAAAGCAGCAGAGAATGGCCCAAGTGCTGGTGTCCCTGCAACCATGTGGGAGACCTTGAGGAAGCTCCTGGCTGCTGGCTTTGTTGCAGTCATCTGGGGATTGAAACTGTGGATGGAAGACCTCTCTCTCTATCTCTGTCTCTCTCTCTAATAAAATATAAAAATTTAAAAAAGAAATAAAATAGATTAAGCAGAGAGATTAGTTATTAATCAACTAAATGCTATGTATTTTCATTTTAATTATTTAAAAATAGAAAATATAATTCCTTATTTTTTCTTACATATTAAAATGTTTATTATAAAAATACCTGCAAAAAAAAGACTCAATCTTTTAGAAATTTTATAGCCTACATTTTGCTCTGTTATTTAGCAGTTGCTTAATGCTGGCCAATTATTCATTCTTCCTAAGCTTGTCAACTTTGCTGTAAAATGAGTATAAAAACATGAAAACCATCTGGCCAGTAGAAATGTATGTGATGTATTTAGCATAGTGGTAATAATAACAGCAGAGTAGTACAAGTTGAACATCCCTTAAGCAAAATACTTGGAACACAAAGTGTTTTGGATTTCAGATTTTTTTTTTTTGGAATTGGAATATGTGCAGAAAAATTATATTTTGGTAGATGGTCCTAAGTGTACAAACAAAATTCACCTATGTTTCCTATACACTTTATATGCTAGTCTAAATGTAATTGTAGACAATATTCTTAGATTTATTTATTTGAAAGGCAGAGTGACAAGAGAGGGAGAGACAGAAAGAGAAATTCCATCCACTGGTTCACTCCCCAAATGGCCACAATGGCCAGGGCTGGGTCAGACCAAAGACAGGAGCCAGGAACTCCATCTAGGTCTCCCATGTGGAAAACAGGGGCCCAAGTACTATATAGAATTTCCACCAGGAGGGTAAATATAAAATTAGCTATGATTTGCCACTCAAACAAATCATCAAATATTCTAATTAAATTAGAAAGTATCAGAAAGCAAAGAATATTACAGAGGTCTTTCATGAAAGAGTCTATCAGTTGGTAGCAACAAATATGAAAGTGAGAAACATTGTGATATTGAAATTGAAGAACATGGCTCTAGATTCAGATAGACTTGTATTTCACTCCAAGTATTAGGATTTACTAGTCTTGAAATTTTTGTGAAGTTACCTGATTTCTCAAACCTGTTTTTTTTTTTTTAATCTGTAAAACAAATCTGAAAGTAGCAATTACTTCTTAGTGTTATTTTAGAATTAAATGTGATAGGGGCCAATGTTGTGGCACAGCAGGTCAACCCAGCTGTTGTACTACCAATACAGTTCCTTGCTAAAGCACTTGGGAAAGCAGTGGAAGTGCTTGGGCCTCCTCCACCCAGGTGGCAGACTTGGATGGGATTCTAGGCTCCTGGCTTCGGCATGGCCCAGGCCCAGCCAGTGTGGCCATTTGGGGAATGAACTGGAGGGTGGAAGAGCTCTCTCTCTTAATCTCTGTCTCCCTCTCTTTCTGTAACTCTACCTGTCAAATAACCCCAAATAAATCATTTTAAAAAAAGAATTAAATGAGATAAAATATATAAAGTATGTATCATAGTGTATGGTGCATAATAATAAGTATTAAATATTGGCCTGTAATTGTTCTTGCTATAATCATTGTCAGAAACATATCTACCCCTATCATTTATTAATTTATTAACTACCATTCTCATGCCTACTACTATACGTATATAGGTAAAGACTTAGCCTGAAAATTATAGGATCAGAGCTATGCTTTGGCAAGAAAAATAGTAGAGATGGACTGTTAAGGGGCAGAGAGACAGAGAGAAAAGTCAACAATAAATTCTTGCTATGGTTCAGCTAACAGACATAAAGACCTCAAAGGCAACAGCAGTGATAATGGAGGAAAAAGGCAATATGAAAGCAAAATAGTGAATAGCAAGCACTTTCCTAATGCATCCTTCAAAACATAATAAATCAGCACAGGTAGAAATCACCTCACATCTTTTTCAATCACAGCCTTTTTACATCTTCAGTGTGCCATGCTGGCATGCTCTTGAGTCTTTTACATTCCTCCAGATTCTTTGTCAGGATTATCATAACTACCTTAGGATGTTCAGAGCTTTAAGAAACACTCAACACTACACTATTTTAAAATTCTTTATGCAACTATTCCTTTAGAACACTAAGTGTGAAAGAGAATAATAGTATAAAACAAACAGAATACATGCATTCTTCATTTTGCCACTTTAACCAATTTCCATGACTTGAACTCATCAGTGGTCAGAGAATTAAAACATTAGGGTCAATTGAATAGCAAAAAGAGAGGACTTTTAAGTGTTGACAAAAAAATTAAAGATTTGTTGAAATAGGCAAGATTATAAATGACAGGAAAGGTTATAAATGATCTTAGATATCACAAAAACACACTGAATCTTTATATTATTTCCTCATCCTAAACACATTTTTAGAAGCATCATTTTCTTACTAACCTTTAGTTGACTACCTACAATGAGGTGTTACTTGCTAATTGCATGCAGAGATCTCTAACAGAGCTTAAGGGGGGTGTGGTGCCTAGGAATGGTGATCAGCAGAATCAGGAAGGGCTCTAACAATACTAACTTTTCCAGAAGACTGAATGCCTTTGATCATGGCCAAGCAAACCATGACCCACGCAGCCAGCAAACAGATGGTCATCTTCCAGTTCAGGCCTCCACTTTCAGAAATGGAACTGGAAATATTCAGTGCTTCTCTGTACCAGTAATAGGTGGTAGCGGAACTTTTTTCACATTCTGGCTCTACAACTGTAGGAAGAAAGATGACACAATTGTGTCAAGCAATAAAGGGAAATGAGACAGTTTTTCCCCAGTAAGCTTAGAAATGAATTATTAACGTTTTCAAGAAAGGAAAACTATTATACAGCAGTATTTAAACTCAAAATGAAGAATAAAAAATTCAACTGTCCAAAAATTTGAAAAACCAACAGACATGGATCCTCTTTGGTATTTCTTATTACTTATTTTTGAAGAAAGAATATGTGGGCTTACTAATGCAATTACAAATCAAATTCATTGCCCCAAACATAAAACTGGAACTGGATTTCAGATTGAATATAAGAAAAATAATGTAAACTGTTATATTAGTAATGTTTATATTAATTATATGTTGAAATTGGATGTTTGGATATGTTAAATTAAATAAAATATTTTATTTCTTTCTTTGCAACTTTTCCTAAATGTGGTCACTAGAAAATTTTGAACTCTATAATTGAGTTAAATGCTTTACTTACTGGGTGCTGCTCCTATAAGGATTCATTCTCCCTTTATTTCACAGTATTTAAAAAACAATGGGGGACTACAAAACAACAGGCTAAGGTATAAAAGCAGTTATTTCAATTTAAATTATTTTCTTTGGTTCCATTTCTGTGGATGTCAATGAAAATGTAAAACATCAGTTAGAGAGTACAAAATAAAAGATTGTCTAAGTTAGCAATTTAAGACTTAGAAAATTTGGCTGTTTTGTCATAGGGCATAGTAAAATAACCTGGTAAAATTAGATGATGCCAAAATTTTCTCAAAGTGTATGAGTCCTAAAAGTGAGGAGAGTCTGTTATGATGATTTTGAAAATTTTCCTTCATTAAAGAAAAAAAATTTTGAAGTTTGTGCCTTTAGTAATTTTCTAATCTTTAAATACAAAAACATTACTCAGCACATGTCTTACAAGTGTGAGAAGCATTTTTCACCAAAGGACACTGATCCCAAGGTAGAGGTTGCTGAAAAGACTGAGAAAAATAAAACAAACTCCAGCCAATGATGACATTGTAGTAGAGAGCCACAAAATAACACACCTGCAAAATAAAACAATATAGTTAACATGAAATCCTTCATGCCTCTTTCTTTAAAATGGTGAGATCAAATGCACAAATTTTCATTTAACATTTTGAAAATCCTCCTCTTTCCTTTTTATGTGAAACACATGGTCGTCTCTAAAAACAATCTCTCTTACAGACCTCAGAACATGCATTAACAATACTAAATTACAGCAATATTTACAATTTATTTTGTGTGCTAATACGTACTCCAGTAGCGTTTTTAAAAACATGACTAAGTTGCGAAAAAGCACATGCTGAGTGAAAATCTACTTAAATGTCAATTTTACAATTGCAAGCCTTGTAAAGATAATAGTATACACCACAATAGGAAACTTACTACACAACTTGCAAATCCAATCCCACCCAGTTTTGGGCTTATGTAATTCCATACACCAATGCTTCCTCGCCGGATTCTCTGACCCACAGAAAGTTCCAGGAAAAAAAGGGGAATACCTATTACCAGGAGTAGTATTAAGTATGGTAAAAGATATGCACCTGCAGAGAGAGAAACAAATAAAATAGATTATATTTTCAGTAGTCACAATAAAGAATTCAGTAACTCTGATCATTTCATGAAAGACCCTATTTGAGATTCAATGTAATGTGCAGAGGAAATTTACATAAAATGCCATTTCATTACTTTATACATTTAAGATTTTGAAACTTAAACTTGCTAAAAGAGTTTTCGATATAAAATAATTTTGATAAATATATTAATGAAATTTTTCATTTTATTGAAAAGGTAAGACAGCTTCATTTTCCATGAAAATAACTGATTCTTTAAAATGAATTCTGTTCTGGATTAGGTTCTGAAAAATCCTAGAAATTTCATTCATATATGGTTTATGAGGTCCTTTATTGTGTTATCCAATCCATTTAAATCCTTCATCCCAAGTCTGATAAATGAGATTGAGTTGTAGGAAATTAAAAGTGACTCTTTTTTTCTGAAATTAAAAGAACAGACCTAAACAGAAAAAAATTAAAAAGTATAATATCTTCTACCAGAAAAAAAGGTCTTTTTTCTCATATTTAATACATAATAAAGTACACTCCAGGAGGGAAATTTTTGTTTTATTTTTTAAAATTCTAAGAAGGGGTGTGAGAGTGATTGAGAAACTAAACATTCAATGTCTGATTAAAAATGTGTGTATTATCATCTGTGTGGTAATGTTTCCATAGTTAAAAACAAATATTTTTTCATCTAAATCACAGATAAAGACATAAGAGTAGTGATTAGTAAATGGTAATATAGTTTCTCAAATTATTTCTCTCAATTATTTATACTCTTATGCAATGATAACAATGATTATTTAAGGACTTTAAAATAGTGGTTTGTACATAATCTACCATGCTATAAAGGATCAGACTTTAATTGTTTTTTTTTTTAATTTTTTTATTTATTAATTTTTTTTGACAGGCAGAGTTAGTGAGAGAGAGAGAGACAGAGAGAAAAGTCTTCCTCCCGTTGGTTCACCCCCCCAAATTGCAGCGTGCTGGCCCGAAGCCAGGAGCCAGGTGCTTCCTCCTGGTCTCCCATGTGGGTGCAGGGCCCAAGCACTTGGGCCATTCTCCACTGTACTCCCGGGCCACAGCAGAGAGCTGGACTGGAGGAGGAGCAACCTGGACAGAATCAGGCACCCCAACAGGGACTAGAACCCCAGGGTGCAGGCGAAGGATGAGCCTAGTGAGCCGCAGCGCCAGCCCAGACTTTAGTTATTTTCACAAAGCAGCATGCATCATGCAGCATGAATATATGAGCTTGCAAAACAATACAAAGTTATCAAGATTTTATTCCCAAATTGATTTGCAATGTTCAGGGACTGCTAACATTGAAAGTGCTTCCCAAAGGACTGAAAGAAAAATTTTAACACTTGCATCAAATTTTAGATTTTGAGTGGGTGTATATGCATGTGAATGACTGTGAACAAGAATAAAGGTGGTGGGGGGAGAGAGAATTAACACTGGATTTATTGGGATTTATTTCTGCAATTATGTGTACATGACATGCTATTAGATACCTGGCTTTTCTTCTAACTCAAATTATTCTAACATTAGTCCTCATATTTAAAAACCATAGATAAAATATAATATTTACTATGGTAGTATTTACTATTTAACAGATATATTTCTAAGCACATTATATGCAGTCATTCATTTATATATGATAAAGAATCCAGCAAGGGAAATACAATCACTACAACCTCCCCCCACATTTCACAGGTTTGGAAATGGAGCCTGAAGAAGTGAGTTAAGTTGTGAGAAGTCAGACAAGCCAACTTATATTGGTTTATCTATTATCCAAAAACTGCATCAAATGATTACAGAATAAGACCTCAGTAGCCTGAAACTGTTCAGCTAAACAGCTGGAGGATAATCCTCAGATACCTAGAAAAATCAATGCTACATTTCAGGTTCATTAGTAAAATATTTGGTACTCTAATGGCATCCTGAAATAATAAAATCCACTGATATTTTATAACACATGCTAATAATGCTGTATTGGCAGCTAGAAAAGAGGAACCAATTATAGGAAGAGTAAATTGATTTTTTATATTTGAATATATGATGGAAGAGCCATTTTTGCTAATAACCTGGTAGTGAATAGGGAATATCTATTTCAGAGCTTCCTACCAAGACATATATTATACTAAAGGGAAAGCAACCTTTCAACCAAAACAGCCTTAACTGTATGGCTGGGAGAGTTTTCAAGGTGAAAATTTTCAAAATCAGAATTCACTTTTTGCTACTCTTGGCAAATGGAATTATTTGTGAGGAACAAAAAAGCACAGTAGTGTGCAGTTGCTTATAGCTGATTTGATAAATAATTCATATGTGAGGTTACAGAATAGATGAGGAGCTCACAATTTCAGTAGAGTGATAGGCAGGACACCACCAAGTTCATATATTGATTCTTGCTTCCAGGCATATTTGTCAAATAAGCTATTTTTTAACAAACCTCTTCCTTTGTACCTGTTTGAATTAACTAAAAAACATATTTTTTCACCATAATACCATTTTTTTAATCTTTGGGAGGATACAAATAATTTCTAAGGTAGTGTTGTGGCACTATGGGTTGTCACAGCTTGGGACACCCACATCCCATATAAAAGTGCTTGTTGAAGTCCAAGCTCTTCTGTTTCTAATCCAGCCTCCCAAGGAGGCCATGGATGATGATCCAAGTACTTGGATTCCTGCCATCCATGTGAGAGACAGAGATGGAGTCATTGGTTCCTGGATTCAGCCTGGCCCAGCCCTGGCTGTTATGTGTATTTGGGAAGTGAAGCAGTGAATGGAAGATCTCCCTCTCTCTCTCTCTGCTCCCCACCCCATCCTTCTGTCTTTCAAATAAATAAATAAATAAGTATATTTAAAAGGATTTGCATATGAGTTGCTACATTTCATTTGACATAAGGCTTATAGATTACAACTGTATTAGAAATAAAAGCACATTTGTCCAGTCAATAAAACTACCATAGACTGGACTCACCACCACAATTTTCTTTGTGACCTTTCTGTGTTGAAACTCATGAATTATGAAATATAGAGTATCTAGTCACATTTATTTTAATAGCCTTCATGTACATAGATAGTAAAATTTCAACTCAAACATTAGTTAATTGAACAGTTAGTTTGATTTTAATGTACTATGGCACTAGTATCATATATAAACAATTTCTTCCTTTGTAAAGAATTTTCCTAGACTTTTTGGAGAATTTTTGCTAACTAAGCCTTTCTTATTATATGCATTAACACACAAGCAAGAATATCAAAGAAAGTGCAAATACTTTTGCTTAAAATGAAGAATCTTAATTTTGTTAAAACTTTCTTTGAAATGGAACATTATTCCAAAATACTACAGAATTGAAAGCTAAATATGTAAGATAAGGATGAAGAATGACTGGCATTATATTAATTACCTGGTTACATTCCTTCTACTGGGATCTAAGAGTTCTGGTCAGCATTTGAAGACCATAATCATTCTAAATTACATGTCATTTTTGCTTTTTTGAAGAGTGAGGCAACTTAAAACTCAGATTTAATAAGTCATGGAGAGAAAATTCTGTCTTCCTTCACCAGTTTGTCTTACATGAGAAGCTTTAGGTCATTCTTCAAAGGGAATAACTGACAAGCACAAAGGATGCAACATTTGTTAGAGAAGTTCAAGTCAATAAATCAAAGATGTTCATAGCATCCACAGAAAGAATCTGAAAATGTGTTACCCTTAAGCAATCACTGAGTATTTGTAGCAAGCCAGTCTGCTCCTCTGGAAACCTAATCTGAAAACAGAGCTGGGCACACTTCCCACAAAGGAGTCTCTAGCTTTTCAATGGAATTCATAGTTTCAAAAATAATGAGATGGCAACAGCAATCAGAGCTACTTAAGACAACCAACTGCAATTTACTATTGTAGTTAATCACACACACACACACACACACACACACACACGAAATAAATAAATAAAAATAAAAACTTACCACCTCCATTCTTCTGACATAAGTATGGGAATCGCCACACATTCCCTAAGCCTACAGAAAATCCAACTTGGGCCAGGATGTATTGTAGCTTACTATTCCAGGCTGGTCTTTCATCTTCTATTTCAGAGGCTTCTTCAGCATCTGTATCTTTCTCTTCTTGGACATCGACAATCAGTTCACTCTTCTTAAAAGCATCATCAGCTGAATCTTCATTGGAAAGAAGGTCTTTGACAGACTCAATAACCTCATCATCTAATTCTCTTTTTACCACTTTGCTATTCTTAGGCATTGGAAAGTATGGGAAGTATTACTTTTACAAACTCCCTTGTGGAAAATGTGTTAATTCTTTCTTTAAAAATATTACTTGATATGAAGTAAAGAATGGGGAGGATTTCAAATAAATCCTTGATTCAAGGTGATAAGGTCTTATGAATCCTTGATCTGTATGTCCAATATTCTGTTGGTACCTGGAAAATTGTAAGTTGAAATGTGACAGTATTTAATGATGAAAATATTAGAAACCCTTTCTTGTTGATTTTTATGACGGGAACTGTTTTTATAGTGTATAAAGCATGATTGTCCTCTGCCTTTCAGAACATGTTATTTCCAGAATTGTGGGAATTGAAAACACATGAGTTTCAAACACATTTTATTTTGGCTAATTTCCTCCTTCTTGCAAAAATCTATTTTGCTCTCAGATATATGCCAATGCATAACATATATTCTGTCATTTACAATTAAAATTTGTGACTTTTCATAGTTTTCCTTTCTCCCCTGATATTTTTCTTATAGATCCCTTATTTTGTTCTTTGTAATATTATATACATAAATGCATGTCAACCTGTAAATTTATCATATTTATACATATATATAAAAATATTCTTTCCCAGTAATCTATTCATCCATTCACACATTTAATATTAATTGTGATTGAACTTTATGAGATAAAATCATCAGTGAAATATACAAGGTCTGCTTTTAAGGAGTTTATATCTAATAAAGAGAAAGGTATATCCCAAGTCATTGTATTACACTTCAGAATTTAAATGATCCAGCATCATTATAATAGGAAAGATCAGGAATACTGGATAAAAGTGACACTTAAGTTGGGCAGAAATGGAGTGAAGCCACACCTAAAACAAGGAATTGTATAAACAGAGGCAGCAAGTGGCAAAAATTCATGATAATATGTGAATATTCTCTTAAACAATGAATTAAAACACTGTCATCGCTTTGGGACTTTTTTCTCTTTTCATATTTTATGATAACGTTTCATATTCTCCTTTGTATTCAGACACAGACTAAGTAAAGAAGGCTTGCCTACAGATCAGTAGTGTTCTCTGTTTTTAAAAGTGACTAAACAAATAAGTGCTTCTTTTAAAATTTATTGAGGAGTTGCAGAAATGACAATCTAAGAATTCTGCCATCCAGTGCTAGAAAAAAATGGAATTTTTTCATAGAACTGCTGCTAGATTTACATAAAAAGTAACAAAATTAAACAGTTGTCATACTTTAGTCTGTAGTATCAATAAGCACGACAAAATAGCAGGTAACTCACTTACATTTTGGTGCAGGTTAAGAGGAAACTATAAAGGAAATTCTGGAAATCAAAAGCATTTCCAAAATATTTGAGTGATAGGGAATTTCTAGAATGACTAACCACAGGGATTATTTTAAAGGGGCAATGAGGTTTGAATATAGAAATAGATCATGAAGTTTGGGATTGTAACTTTACTTTGAATTATTTTTCTCTAGAACTCAATAAATATTAGTTGAATAAATGAAAAACTGAAATAAGTGTTCTTTTTTTTTTTTTTTTTTGCTGAAAGGGAGCAACCTAACATAAAAATTATGAGTTTTGAGATGCGAATTATCCAGATTAAAAGCCTACATTTACCGAGTTAATATTAAGATAAAAGGTGTGGGCATGGTAACAAGTGATACATGAATACTGATTTTGGTCTTATACACAGAGTTTGGGTCAGCTCCAGCCATTGTGGCCATTTGAGGAGTGAACCAGCAGATGGAAGATATCTCTCTCTATCTCTCCCTCTCCTTCTCTCTCTCTCTCTGAAACTCTGCCTTTCAAATAAATAAAATCTTTTTTCTACTATAAACAGAAAAAGGATAAAAAATTAATGGTATTACAAGTAAAATGATTTAAGGTCCCTTCTCTTAATCTATTTCTTCTTCTCTCCCAGCTTCCTGCTCTGTCTGGGGTACAAGGATATGGGAAGGGACTGCAATTAACACCGAATTTTTTTACAATTACATTTAAGCCTGGGGGGAATGTTGTTGCCTGGAGTATGACTTTGTTTATCTTACACTCATATCCTCAGCATTCAAAATTGCCTGTCAAACGTTTTCATACATGTTAGTGTTTTTACCAGAAGAACCTACACCCACTTAACAGAGGCAATTGTTTCTTGTGCACAGGATTCATATTGCCAAATCTGAAGATATATCTTGAGTTTCTGAATAGATTTGTAAAAACTAAATCTAGAGACATCAATTTAGACACCAAACATGACTTTTTTGAAGGACAAAAATTTTATGAATTCTGAAAGCTTGCCTAAAGGCTTAATCCATAAAAGTAGGCCATAAGTGTACACTAAATATAGAATGCAAGAAGAGGTTGATTATTGCCAGGAATGCTTTACAATTGCCACGTCCAGGAATACCAGAATAAATGAACCAGGAATGTCTGGGAAAGAAGGGAGGTAGAAGATCATGAAGGTTCAGTATCAGTGGTTCACATGGACAGTAGTTGGATCAATATCAAGTAACTGCACAGCCTCTGCCAAGGTAGTACTATCCACTCTTGTGACAGAAAGGCAACTGGAGAACAAGTCATCACCCACATACTTCATATGGAGGCACCTCAAACCCTAAGAGTTCCATTAGCCATACTCACCATTATCTAAGAGCCTCCTATGTACAATAGTGCAACAGAGAAAGGGTAAAAAAGAAATATAGCCCACAGTCCAATGTTGTAAATAAAACCTACTGAACCATATCCATGTCTAAGGCTGATTTTGTGATACTGCAGCAGAGTTTCTCTTCTGGAAAGCAAAGCCTAAAGCATTTACTGATTCTTTACCAAAAAATAGATTTTTTTGGCCAACCTTTCTATCAGAGAATAAATCTCAACCGATGGTGTGGAGTTCCGCAGCACACTCCATATATGCTTCATTTATGTGACATTATTTACCAAAAAAAAAAAAATCCTAATAAGAACACATCAGATAAAGCTTATCCAAGAAACATAATTCCAATAGAGAACAGAATGAATAAGATGCAAAACACTAAAAGACAGTATGGTAAATGTTTTGAATTTATAATTTAAAACAATTAAGAATTTATAATTTAAAATAATAAAATAGGAGGGTAAACACAGAATTACTAAAGTAAGGAATTCCTGGGAATTTAAACCAGTAGAAAGGAGAAACGATAAGCCCCCTGAGTATATTTAGTTACTTCTATAAAAACTAAGGAAAAATGCAGGATCTCTAATTTTTATATCCAATTAACTTGTATACCAGTTATTAACACTATAAGCAAATATTCCAATCCCTAAGAGAGCTGATGAGTCCTATGGGGCTGGGCACTGAGGGATGGGAAGGAAGCAACTGTATGATCATGAAATTTAGCCCACCATGAGAGAAAACAAAATAATGATCAAGATAACAGTGAAGCCATGTTAAAAGAGAAAAGTGAACACTAATTTAAACAATAAGGTAAAGCTGACAAAGTGTAGAAATTATGTATAGAGGACAAAAGTATAAATCAAAAATAAAAGACAACAAAACCAGGAATTTGAAATAGGAGGAAATGGAAATGATAGAAATAAAAATGATGCGAGGCCGGTGCTGTGGCAAAGCGGGTAAAGCTGCTGCCTGCAGTGCCGGCATCCCATATGGGTGTCAGTTCGAGTCCCAGCTGCTGCACTTCCAATCCAGCTCTCTGCTATTGCCTGGGAAAGCAGTAGAAGATGGCTCAAGTCCTTGGGCTCCTGCACCCACATGGGAGACCCCAAAGAAACTCTTTTCCTGGCTTCGGATCAGCACAGCTCCGGCCATTGCAGCCAACTGGGGAGTGAACCAGTGGATGGAAGACCTCTCTCTCTCTCTCTCTCTCTCTCTCTCTGTCTCTGCCTCTCCTTCTCTCTGTGTGTAACTCTGACTTTCAAATAAAAAATAAAAATCTTTAAAAAATTTAAAAAATAATAAATAAAAAGGATGTAATTGTCCCCATCTTTCACCAAGGAAATAACAGATACTACATAAATGTAAAGTTTGTAATCTAAAAGAGGTTGATGTCTGCAACTTCTTTGTGTTATCATATGCTTTTTCTAATTCAGTTATCATGGAATTTTACAGGAATTAATGTCCTGACGTGAAAAAATACGCATTGCTGCCAAACATTTATAGTAAAGTTTCACAGACAGACTGAGTTTTAATTCTACTTACAGTTTTATGACATTGGCCAAGTTAATTAACAGTGCCTCAGTTTCCTAATAAATGAAATCAGGACAGTAATGTTTATCTAATAATAAAGGGGATGGATAAATGCCAGCATACTGAGAGCACTACTCCTGAGGTTGTATTGTATTTCAACTGGTTTGTTGTGTGTTATTCCAGTAAGTTGTTCAGCACAGAGCCAATTCTACATGTTTTAGTCTTTCTAACCACCTCTATTTTATTAGCTATCTGTTTCTGCATTATGAATCACACCAAAACTCAGCACTTAAAAAAACAAGTCATGATTCTTATGGTTAGCATCATGAGCCAGGCTGAGATGACTGGTGGTTCTGGTTTTGACTAGAACCACTCTTGCACTACGGACATCTGTCAGTTCAAATCTCAGATGATCTAACTTAAATACTCAGCACCTTGGTTCTCCTACAGGTAGTCTTTCCAAAATGCATGCCCTGATTTGTTTACAATAAAATCTCATCTTTCCAACAGTATCCTAAGAGATTAGGTAAGCCTAATGTCAAGGGTTACTAGAAGTTTCTGTTTGTGTCAAATTAGTGAGGTCTCACTCATCAAAGGAAGTCTCATATTAGTGTCCAGAGGCAGTCAAGAGGAAAGAGATAAATCCCACATCTTCATGGAAAGAGCAAAGTCATAATGCACAAGGCATGACAAGAGAGGACAGAAAAATATCATCACCATGTTTGAAAATAACCTTCTATATTTGACCAGTTAGATTCCCCTCCCATGTAGTTTGAATCTTGACAACAGGAAAAAAGAGATCAGAAAGTTGGCCTTTCATTCAATTCCATTAAAGGCATTATGCCCAGGCTGTGATTACTAACTGTAGTCATGGATCCAGTTTCTAGTTCTCAGAACTATTTTCATTCTTGCCCTTTTCCATCTCATTGCCAAGCATCCCATTGTTTCTTTGAGCCACTGTGACCCTGCCAAAACTTGTTGTAAACCTTAAGTCTTGGCCAACACTAGGT